TGGCGTGAACGTGGCGTGAACGTGGCGTGAACGTGGCGTGAACGTGGCGTGAACGTGGCGTGAACGTGGCGTGAACGTGGCGTGGGGCGGGGGAGTGAGCTCTAAGGACTCACTGTGTGGCTGTACCTTGGTCTTCCTTTGAGGGGCTCCAGGTCTCACTTCTGCCTTGTGAGGTCCATGCAAGTCCCCATAGCTCGCGATGTACTGAATCAGATTCATCAGCGCAGCACACGAGTCCGAGCAGGTTCTGATATGGACCACATCACTCGAACAGTGTAACTCGAAGTGGGGCTCAGTCTGGACAGGGCACGGGGAAAAAAAAGAGTGAAAATGGTGTCCAAACAAGAGGTAAAAAAATCTATCTTTTTGTACAGATTTACATTAAGTAAAATATGATAATCTCCCTTGCCACAAGGAAAAAAAACTTGTAATAACTCAACCTTAATTTTAAACTTTTATCTATTTTGACCAAAATTAGGTTATGGACAAATAATTTTACAGCAAAATCAACTTTTTTTAATCTATCAAAAAATATATCTTAGAAAATAATTTCCATTCACTTTAAGAACTTACTTGTTCTACCTCAGAATCAGACTTCACTGCAGTTATGGTTAATTCCAAAAGCCCCATATCCATCACACGAACATAATCTAAAATTTAAAAAAGTAACTAATAAAATAAGTATTGCTTTCAAAAAATGCTTATCCAATTAATAATTAATAGAACCAGCATTTTAAAAAAATTCATTGTGGATAGTGTTATAAATATTTATAAAGCATTGGAAATAGTTTCCTCCTACAAAAGTCCTACAATTCACTTTATTTTAGTTAGAAAATAAATTTTCCTTATATTAAATACATATTTAGAGTATATGTAATTTGATGCATTTAACTGATCTTATAAGAACATTAAGGAGCACTCGTGGCACAGTGGTTAAGCACGTGGCTGCTAACCCAAAGGTCAGCAGTTCAAATCTACCAGCCACTTCATGGGCAAAAGATGTGGCAGTCTGCTTCCATCAAGACTGACAGCCTTGGAAACCCTATGGGGCAGTTCCACTCTGTCCTATACTATAGCTGCTATGAGTGGGAATCCACTCAACAGCCATGGGTAATGGGGTATAAGAACATTACAGCTTCGGGCTGATATTTAATAAGCTCTTTACTTCACTGGCATTATCCCAACATTACAAAGCTTTAAAATATTCATACATGCACAAATAAACAGCATTCACCTATCCCAGATTTTATTTACCAACTCTTACCTCTGTTCAAATTTATAGTGACAGTATTACATTTGTCAGACAAATATAAAGCCGCTTCATCCAAGATTATTCTGAGAAAAAAACAAAACCAACATCTGAAAAAACCGTCTCTGAATCTATACCACAGGATCATTATATGCTCAACTGCACCATCTTCTTTCTCATACCTACATTATCAACATCACATGGAATTTCTGACTTATAATTCTCATCTAAAATTTCCTTAAAACTCACTGTTTATGAGTTCTAGGAATATTTAAATGGTGTAAAGAATGAGAGTAAATCATCTGCTCAAATTCATTCTAAATTTTTGGCAATTTTTTTAAAAAAGATGCTCAAATGTACAAGGTTTAAAGTATGAAGACTGTTTATCAGGTATTAAGGGAAGTTCATTGCATTTTTTAAAAAAGCAAACGAAGAATCTCAATTCATCTCTTCCCTACGGATGAAATGCAATAACAAAAGGAGCAGCCGGGAAGAGTGCCCCGAGAAAGGACATGCCTACTAGTCAGGGTGTTGGTTTTAAAGATGGAGAATTAATTCAACGGCTTAGGTAAACGTCAGTCGGCACGTTGTAACAAGAAGTCCACGGAGGTACCTGAGAGTGGACGCTGACTTGTCCAGAGCAACGCTGCTAGACACGCTGAAGGTCTCCACGGTCAGGAGGGACCGGATGGGCAGGTAGAGAGGCCTGTCACCGGAAGGAAACAACAGCCCGTCACACCGAGGCAACCACAGGAACTCTCAGCAAAGCACCTGAAACTTAGCTCTACTGGATTAGATATTTAAAAAAATCTTAGTACGCATTTAAAATAACAAAACTTAGTTTTGTTCCAGTTGGGAACTCACCTATAGTCAAGTGCACAGCTCCAGAGATGAACGTGGAAAGTTGTGAAGGAAGCTGGAGGATTGTAGCCCAAAACGGGTTCATCAGCAATATTCAAGAAGTTTAACATCTATAATTACAAAAATATAAAACGCCCTGCTTTAGAAGAAAAAAAAAGTTTTGATATGATATCCTGAATATCCGTGTAAAACATTATCTCATTGAAAAAGCAACCGCTTAATTGGAAAACTATAATGCTAAAGGAAAAATGGGTCATTTTGAATGAAGTTTGTTTCACAAAGTACTCACAAAACTACAAGTGGAAACGAAGCGGCTTGCCCTGCAATTGTAATGCTACAGACACCTTAGCTAATCCTCACATTGTTTTGTCTGGAACAACTCTTGAAAAAACAAACCTGCTGACAACGGCTTAAAACCATCAGTCTGGTCTTCCATATCAGGCACTGTGGGGGAGGCTGTTTTGACTGACTTACGCGGCTCAGTCTGAAAATCAGCCCCTCTCGCCGGCACCTCCTCTCTCACCTTTCTAACCTACGCGAGGAAGGAAGTTAGGCTAAATCTGTCCCTTACGGCCACTTCACTGTCCATCCTAACCACCTCTCTATTTTTCATGTTTTCTAAATGCTTTTATGAAAAACGCATTTTGAAAATATTCAAGTTTTAAAATAATTACTTTCCTAGCACAATGAAAAAGGTCCTCTTCCTAAGGAACATGGAAGAAACATACTTTTTGTGCTTACACAAAGAAGAGGTAACGTCTTACCCAACATTTCCTCTGAAAAATAACCTACTGGATTTCATGAATCACATAGACTTACTAATTATAGTACAGAAACCTCATAAACATCTCAAAGCAGTATGTGATCGGCCTTGGGCGCAATACTGGAATGACAGCCCTTCAAGAACGTACGGGTACCAGCACACCGTTTACTGCTCCCCTACACCAGACACTCCGCAGGTCCTGGGACACAGAGTCCCTTCCCTTCACTGTCGTAAAGAGTAACTCTGTCATGGCTGCTGAGGCTGCCTATGTACAACCGAAGACCTCATGGGATTTGGTTCCTTGGTTTGGAGGTTTAGGGTCATGGTCTCATGACACATCCCAGTTAACTAGCATAATAGCATGTTTAGTGCTTCTGTTCTACCTCCTAGTACACTGTGTAGTGCCTGAGGTCTTAAAAGTTCACAAGTGGCCATCCAAGACAAAACTGGTCTCTGTTCACCTGCAGCAACGGAGGAGGAGGGACAGTCAGGAATAGAAGGAGGATGTGGGATACGTGGTTAACTGCCTCCATGAACAACTGCCTCCTTTGCCATGAGACCGGAAAATCAGATGGTGCCCCAGCTACCATTACCGAACGTTTTGATAAAGATTCTAGAAAAGAATCCCAACCCAAAGAGGAAAAATGTAGAACAGAATTTCTAATTCTCATCGACTGCAGACTTCCTGGAGTCAGGAAGGCTGCATGAACCCCTGAAGCTATTGCTCTGAGAAAATCTTTAAACTGTAAACCAAAAATATCCCCTGAAGTCTTAAAACTAAACAATAGTTTACTTTACCTAGTAAAAATTGTCTGTCTTGAGCATTATGCTTTTTAAAGAACAATCTATATGGGATCAAACTGGTAACAGAAACTAGAAAGATCAGATAGGAACCCTAGGGGGCAGTGAATTTATGGTAATGCGGGAGGAGCGACTGAGAGGAGGAGGGTGAGAACGGTTCCACAACTCCAAGAATGTGATCAATGTCACTAAGTGGTACATGGAGAAACTGCTGGATCAGTGTGTGTTTTGCTGTGTATATCCTCAACAACAACGAAATAAACTAAAAAAAAAAAAAGAACAATTCTGTCTTTGAAATGCTTAGGGACCAAAAAAATCAGCTACGTCTTCCTAATAATGTTCTATTTCTTGACCTAAGAGGTGATTACAGAGGAGTGTTCATTTCATGATAATTCATTGAGCTGAACATTTATGACTTGTGAACTTTTCAGTATGTGTGTTACATGTCAATATAAATTAAAAAATAAACTGATACAGACATAACAGCTACCTTACCTGCTCGTGCCAGCTGAGCCCAGAAGGAGGCATTCTGTGCTGGAGAGTGGCTCCTTTCAATCCTACAGCAACGAGAGACTCCTGTGCAGAACAACACACAAAGAATTACATCTGCCACCTGCATAATCCTAGAATTCAAAAGGTTTTCTAGGAAAATAAACGTGTGCCCTTTTATGCATTCATTTTTAGCTGATAATCAACAGCAAGTATTTCATGGTAGAAAAGTACAAAACACAAACCTTTGTATTGGATTCTGATTTATCAGACAATATTTTAACTGCGACAGAGAGCATATTCAAACTGTCTCCTCCGACACCATCTGAAGGACTTCTACTGAGGCCGTCTTCTTCAGAGGAATAAATGGTGGGCTCCAACCAATGGGGGCGTGCTGAGCTGGGCAGCCTCGTTTCTGTAAGAGGAATCACTCCATCCACTATGCCTAGAGAACAAAACGATTCCTTGGAATTAGCTCATGGGTGTCTACAACTCCAAACAAAAATCCATGCACATCTATTGAATATAAATTCATCGCGGAAGCGAGATGGCCAAGGACCAGCTTGGCGTTACCAGTCTACACATCTCTGCTGATGTTGATGCGACAGTGCACGACTCAGAGAAGTACCCGAGATTCTGAAAGGCTAGAAAGTTAGATTTCCACAGGAAAATCCGATAAACATCAGGAATGTGCAAGTATCTCATCTATTTGGACAGTAACACAGGGAACATTCTCAAAAAGTAAGTTCTGTATCTGATACCAAAAGGAATAAAGAACAAAAGCCCCATAACTGATGAATGGATAAATAAAATATTGTCTATTCATACAATGGAATACTAGTCAGCAATACAAATAAATGAAGTCCTGATACAACTCGGATAAACCTTGAAAACACGATGCTAGGTGCAAGAAGTCAGTCACAAGAGACCGTACGTTGTTTGATTCCATTTATTTAAAATATCCAGAATAGGCAAATCCATAGAGACAGAAAACAGATTAGTGGTTGCCTGGGGCCTCGGGGGAGGGGTGTAGAGTTTATTTTTGGGGTGAAGAAGATGTCCTAAAATTGACTGTGATGATGTTTGCACAAGTCTGTGAACATACTGAAAAACCACTGAAATGTACACTTTAAATGGATGAATTGTATGGCATGTGAACTATATTTCAATAAAGCTGTTACAAAAAAAAAACGACTGTGAAGTCAATTTCTAATCTATAATAAGCATTACCTGGGCAGCAGAATCGGAACACATCACAGAAAGTCATTCCTGGTATTAGAGTTCTGCTCTGAATAGGCAGTCTTTATTACACAGGATATGTAAGCATGCTTAGGCAGGTGTGAACAAACACACCTAGTTCACAAGGGTCCTACCTTTGTGGTACAGGCTGAAGCTGCTGGAATGAAGGCAGATGTAGTGCTTGTCGTCAAAACCTTCGTATCTTGTCACACAAAATAATGAACCACTATTGATCTCTAACCAGAATTCACCATGCTTGTTTTCCAACAGATCTCCATTATCTTGCTAATAAAATGATCAGAAAAACATGAGTATTTTTTTTTTTTAAATGCAGAAGAGGAAGAATGCTCCTCGATTGAGCTTAGGAAAACCTCCCAAATTACAGCAAGGTCATCTGATTGTTGAGCTGTCCAATATAGTGGTATTAATAACCGAATAACTAACCGCTATGGGGGCCGCATCCGCCAAAGGAAGCCCCATGCTCCATCTCTCTTCTGATGGACACATTACCAGTTATTGCCCTCAGGGACAAAACCAGCATCTGTTTTCCAAAAGAAGGCCCACGCAGAGTTTGTCTTTTGGTCTGCAAGGAAAGCCAGATTCCCAAAGTTGCTGCTACCATGGGGCACCTCAGAACGCTGTCTTCATCACTCCCCGAAAGAACTGCCAACTACCTCACTCACTGGACATACTAGCAGGGTAGATTTATTTTAAATAACATTTGAAAAAGCACTTTGGATGTGTGAGTCCTTACCTTTACGTCTGTGAATACGGCCACTAATCCGTGATTAATATTCAGAAGAACCGAGAGAAAGCTCTGTGAGTTCTTGTTCTGAGAGTCTAATTTTTTCTTCCTTCGGGAACGATAGTTGGGATCAACAGTAGAAAAATACTGCAAAGTCTCCTCCTCAGATCCACTTTCCTCATCTATGAGAAACACACATCACAGTCACATAGGGCTGAAAGCTCGTTAAAATAAAACAGCAATTTAGACACTGCTCATTTTCACAAAGAATCTGGTGTGACAAGAAAAATGTACTTTCTATGTTTTTCTGTTTAGCACGGAACTGAACAATGTGTACACAACCACTCTAAAGAGAACATTTTAAACTAACCTTCTCGATATACAGATAGAAGTGGGAAAATAATCTTATAAATTACTAAGAGAAATTATAAAATACGGTGACAAACGGAAAAGACAGTCAAAGAAACGTTTTTAAATCCATAACTGATGAACCAGGCATTTTAGTTCAGGAAAAATTTAAAATACATTACCATAGTGAACTGCAGATTTCAATGGATTAAAACTATCTTTGTTGAAGGTATTAATCAGCTGACTGGCTACTGAGAGCCCAATACCATATGAGATATTTTCAAACGTCTCTACTGGTGAAGGAGCTGTTGGTTCCCACAGTAGTAAGTCATTGAAGATCCTATGAAAACAAAGTTGAATAAGTACATAGCTCGTCCTTCCACTGAAGGCAAACTAAAGAATATCCGTTTAAGAGATCACATGAATAATAGTTTTCTTAAAATGGTTAAATGGAGATTAGATCTTATAAAATAGTTAACAAAAAAAAAAGACAATCATGCTTTTACAATGGAAAAATCACTGACGTGGCTCTAACGCGAAGCAGGGAGAAAGGAGTCCGCACAATCGGCCATCTAACTAGAACAGCGACTAACTTCACTGGTGTCACACGCGTCCAACCACACACACGCTGCACATCTGAAGGCACTTGAAAGGGGGGAGTGAATTAAAAATAAAAGCTCACTAAGAACAAAAGGAAGACTGTTCCTGAATCTTAGAGCACTCTGCAAACTCCAAGCAGGTCACACATCATCTCCTTGAGACCCTCCCATCAATTCTGTAGGGCGGCTAGAGGACAACTACTATTTTACACTTGAAGAAATTGCCTCATACAGGTTAAGTACCCTGCCCAAGGTCACAGAGCTAATGAGTGGGAAAGCTGGGATCAGAGCCCAGATTACATCTGCACCAACTCAGTTTCTGTTTCCATGACTCACTTTCTCTAGGGATATCTGCTTTTCCTCTCTTCAACAGAAAGTGTAACCTCTTTGACAAGCAGGCATGGGGTGCAGAATACATATGGAACAGAGAATAAGGAGAGGAAAATCCTTCTAGACTAGCTGGAATAGCCAAATGATCACTGCCGGTGATCAATGTGGTGGTAGATGTCACTGCTGGACTATCGCCAGCCACATTCTACTTCTTCAGAGAAATAGTTGTCAACTACTCAGCAGCCTTTCCTTAGCCTCCTCCCTTCATCTACCTTCTGAGCTTTCAAGATAAGTCAAACTTTCAAAGACTTTGGTTAGATTTGGACATGTAACGTATCCTTCATATATACACATTCCAGGCATAGCACCTATAACTCGATTGTGTCTTCTGCTTTCCCCTTCCCAGACTTAAGCCCTCAGAGAAAGCTTGCGTCTTCCTTGTCTTTATGGGTATCCGGCACAGTGGCGGACACTGAAGGCTTGATGACCAACGGATGGGCAGATGACTCAGAGGACAGGACGGACAAAGCACAGACTCATCGTGAAGACTGGCGTTGACACCCGTCAGTTGCCGAGACGTGACGGAACCCTGCCCCTCCTGTAACCTTGCCCCTTCCTGTGAGAAGCCACCAGTCTAGGAACTTCCAGCCAATTCCTGAGCTTCTGAAGCCCTGGAGTATACACCAAGACTGGGCACTGTGACCGTCAGCAGACAGTAATCCCCACCCAGGATGCAAGCCAGACATAAGTAACTTTGCAGACACACTGACGGCGAAGACCCAAACTTTGTGGCACTCATTTGGCTCAGTGGTTCTTGGGCATAGTACTCACAGGATAAAGAAAAAAGGGGGATAAATCCAGATCCTGGTCTACACTCCTGTGTAAATACATAACAGAGGTATAAAATGACAAATTTTCTCAGGAAATGTTCTTCCTTTACCTTATTCTTCACAAGCATTCTCTTATCTTCATAGGGTAAAGAGAAACTATTATTTTAAATAAAATCTGGAGTTCATTGTATGTAACCTATAGATATAAGTTTCATAAGATTTTACTGTTTTTTTCTTTATATTTTGATCCAAACATAATCTTGATACCATTAATACCACTGGATGATGTTTCTAATATCAAGAACGAAAGCACTGCTTAAGATAACCTGAGACATTTTCATGATTCTATGAAACATAATAGATGCTCAATAAATATTTGATTTAGTAAAGCCAGTTAGAATTATTTTTTATATTCTACTCTAAAGGATTTTTGACACAGAAAATATTCTACTATACCTGAATCTATCTTTCTAAAAAGAGAGAGCTGACTGCCTTAGTCATCCAGTGCTGCTCTAACAGAAATAGCACAAGTGGATGGCTTTGACAAAGACAAGTTTATTCTCTCACAGTCCAGTAGGCTACAAGTCCAAATTCAGGGAGCCGGCTCCAAGGGAATGCTTTCTGTCTGTCAGCTATGGAGGACGGTCCCTGTCATCAGTCTTCCCCTGGTCTGGGAGCATCTCAGAGCAAGAACCTCAGATGTCCTTCTCCAGGGACTGGTCCCTCCTGATAACATGTCCAAAATATTGAGACAAACCAGTACCACAGGTCAGCAAATGATGCCACCTTGCCAAGCCACCTCTCTGCATTATCCTAAACTCAGAGACTCTCCAGATAATTCCCCAATACTGCAAAGACCCAGCCTCTCCTGCCCATATCCCACGATCATCTCTCTGAAACCCCAGAGCAGGGAGCAGCAAACGTTTCCTGTAAAGGACCAGACGGTAACTATTTTAGGTCGCATAAGCCATGCTGTCTCTGTCACAGTGGTTCACCTCTACCACTCTAGTGTGAAAGCAGCCACCCAGAGCAAATGAGCCCGTCGTCATCGAGTCAACTCCGACTCACAGCGACCCTGCAGGACAGGACAGAACCGTCCCATAGGGTTTCCAAGCCTACAATCTGTACAGGAGCAGATTGCCAGGTCTTCTCTCCCTTGGAGCCACTGGCTGAGATCAAACCGCCGATTTGGTTAGCAGCTGGGTGTTACCCACTGCGCTACCAGGGTTCTTGAAAGCAGCTACACACAATATCTTAACAAATGGGCATGTCCTAATAAAACCTGTGGACGCTTAAAGAACTTTAAGTCATGTCTAAACCCCAACACTTAAAAAAACTATTTAAAACCCCTCTAATACGGATTTATAAATTATGTGCTACTCTTTATAAATTATGTGTATTATAAATATAAAAAATAAATTTTAAAAGGAGGTTTTTTTTTTTATGTTAAGTAGAACAGCTAACATTTTCTTCTCACACCTGAATACACAGTCCCGGGAGCCTCATTTTCAAGACCACTGAATTAAATGAACCCTAGAATCCTTTCTAGAACTTAGTTTTCTGATTCTAAGACCAACAGTTCTGGTTAACAGCAGTCGGTGAGAAGACCCAGAGATTATTATTAACAGTTGGGGTCAGGAAAATTTGATACCAATTAAATGTATGGCAGAAACAACAGCTTGAAGTTTCTGAAGATGAATGGAAATTAGAGTAACTTGTTTACACGTGGGAAGCTAGTGCAGACAGACAGTGAGGGCTTCTTTTCTGGAAATCCACGACCATCTTTCAGGTATGCTACAAAGAGATTCCTTCACTGGGTGGGAATTACAGCAATAACAGAAAACTACTGAGTTCTCACAGGCTGTCAGACACACACTCAGAGCTTCTCAGGTATTGGTTCATTTAATCCTTCTAACAACCTTTGAATTCATTTGAATTTGAATTTTGAATAAATTTGAATTTCTGTGAAATTTTGTACAGAAGTTTATAAGTTACCCTTTATAATTCTGACAAGATATCTTTTGGAATTCTACGAAAAGACGCTCCTCGTACAAAGCCGCTAGGATTCTGACTCTACTGCTGGCCCTCTAGACAAGTGTCTCCCAACTCTTCCCATGTCACTGCAGACTTAGAAGAGGTTGTATTTGCTCAGTTCTGTGTGGCTGGCGGACAGAGGTAACGAGCCAGCCTGAGGGCTGAGGGAATGAATACCTTACACACTCGTAACCAAGTCACTAGACACATGGTCTAGGAAGCGGCTTTGGCTTCAGCACATCATAACAGTAATCCTTCTAAGATCATCACCACACGAGGATGACAGATGATAGTGAAGAAGGGAAAGAAAAGGAGGAAGACGGGAAACAGCGAGGCGGGAGGCACAGCCAGTAAGTCCGATTACAAAGATTCAAGGAAATGTCTTTAAACTCACCTGTTATAAAGCTTCTCATAAAAGCTCTTATTAGGTAGTGTTATGTGAATATTTGGTAACGTAAGTTCCAGCACGTAGTGAGAATTACTCATTGCTTTATCCTGAAACTCTGTCATTTCTACAGGGTCTCCTGGCATCACCATCTAAAACATAAGTTTAGTGCAAAACAAGGCATCTCATGACTCTTTCAGGTTTACAGTGGTAGCATCGTCTTAACCTACTCGGTATACGAGTAAATAAATAAACATGTGTCTTCAGCTGGGAAAAGAGACACCAAGAAAAAATATTTAATCTTAGAGTTAAAAACCAAGTAAAAATAGTATATGACTATTTAAAAAAAAAGAAAAGAAAAGAAATACAACTATTGCTACAGGATAGAGAACACCGTTACGCCTCCACGCTTGCGCAGTTTCGGTTTACCTGCTCGTTCTCGAACATCACTCTACGAGAAGAGAAAGGAGACGGGGCTGGTCTTCTTAGATCACAAACGTCCTTCAGGGAGTGAGCACCCCCATCCTCTTCTTCCTGATAGTGACCCTCATTCTCTTCTTCCTCCTCAGCTGCCATTCTCTCCAAGATGGAATGCATGGCTGGGGGGTTGATTTTCAGGACAATTCTGATAACCCAGACAATAAACAAATATCAACTTCTAAGGCTAACCAGCAAAACCTTAACTGTTATGCAAATTAAGAAAAAGACCACTGATTAAATCACTAATGATGGGCTTTGACTTTTCTACAAAGTCTAATTATGTCCAACATAACCCAACTCTGACCATGTTGTAAACTTAAAAGTGTGAAATTGATGAAACATGTTAAAAGTAAGTTAAAAAAGACATTAACATTTTATACTTGGCTAATTGAAAACCTGACTTTTTGAGAGCAAAAAGGTTATTTTTAAATTTCATTAATAGCCAGCAAACTCTATCAAAGAATTCTACTTGTTATCATTAAATCAAACCACATACGGTCTGTTTTGCTATAATGGGACACTTGCATACCTAAGAAATCTAGTTCTATCAATTGTTCACATGGGAACGCGAGAGATCAGGGGATAGAGTTTCAGAACTGCAACAACCACGCTGTCTTTTCTTTCAGGAATTCCAATAATAAAGGGTTGCTGTTGTTGTTTTGGAGCTCCAACTCCTAAACATCACAGAGCTGATACGGCCTTGGGGCGGCGCTGGCTCCGTCAGTGGCACAATTCTTGCCTTTGTTACAAGGGCCGCTGCACCTCACGAGGCAGCCACCACATGTCTGTCACCGGAAGCTTGTGTTCTGCTGTGATGCTGAATAGCCGTCAGCAGAGCTTCAGACTGAGATGGACTATGAAGAAAGGCCTGGAGATCTACATCCAAAAGCAGACATCCACGAAAACTCTAAGATCACAGCTGGCAGTGTTTCCTTCTCTAGCACACGGGGTGGCCGTGAGTCAGGAGCGACTGGTCACGACCGACTGGAAGGCTGCTAAGAACGACAACCGACAATGCAGCCTTCGGCGCATCAGCCTTGCTGTGGAGTAATCACGTTCCTTCCTGGCTCTCTGTAGCACATCACTACACCAGCCTTGCTCTGGAGTAATCACGTTCCTTCCTGACTCTCTGTAGCACATCACTACA